GATTTGAAACCCACTATATTTATCGACAGTCCAAACCCACTAGTAGTAGAAGCTTGGGTTAGGGACATGGATAATATTTTTCACGCACTACCTTGTACAGAAAGACAGAAGGTAGCCTTCGCCGCATTCACCTTCAAAGATAAGGCACAAGAATGGTGGCTTCTTACCCTAGAAAAAGAAGAAATCGTGACCTAGGCAAGATTCTCGGAAGTATTTTACGAAAAATGCTTTCTGGATTCACTACGAGAACAAAAGGCATCTGAATTCATACACCTAAAGCAAGGAACAATGGCGGTGGCCGAATATGAAATCAAGTTCATGCAACTGGCTTGATTTGCAACATATGTTATTCCCACTAAAGCTCAGAAAGCTAGGAAGTTCGAAGCCGACTTAGATTATGACATCAGAAACAATATTGAAGTTCTGAAGATGCCAACATATCCAGGAGTGGTGGATCAAGCATACATTGTTGAAAAAGGAATTAAAGCCTCGCGCTCCGGAGAAACAAGTCAAAAGAAATGGTTTTGGGAAAAAGAAAACAGAAGATCTATGTTGCGCCTCCCAAAAAGGTAAATATGAGTTCAACTAGTCTAGGCAATCAAGGTCCTACTAACTCCAGAAATGGCACCATTCCAAATTGCCTTACTTGTGGGAGGACTCATTGGGGACGATGCTATCGAGACACAGAAGCATGCTTTAAATGCAGGCAAATTGGCCATTTGTGAGATTGTCCAAAGTTTACCAATCCTATAGCAGGCCCCTCTGAACCAGCTCCAAAACCTATTGTACCTGGAGGAGTGAGGAAGGACCAAAAACGCCAAGGAAAAGCTTTTGCCTTGGTGCCTGGAAACTCGGAAGTTAACGAGAACGTTGTGCAAGGTACACTTTTTGTCTGTGGTCATTTAGCTCATGTTCTTTTTGACTCTGGTTCAACTCATTCTTTTGTTGAACCACACTTTGCTTCCAAGTTAGCATCACCATCCGAACACTTAGGATATATACTGTCTGTGTCCTTTCCTTTTGGTAATTCTGCCCTTGGTACTGATGTATACAAATCTTGTACTATATCCTTAAAAGGCGAAACCTTATACATAGACTTGATTTCCCTACGTATTGGAAACTTTGATGTGATCTTAGGAATGGATTGGTTAGCTGTCAACCATGCCTCTATCGATTGCAAAGCCAAAAAGGTCTCCCTTCAATTACCAAACCAACTCGAGATTGTCTTTGATGGAACTAAAGTGTCCATCCCTCAATGTGTCATATCCTCCATGATAGCCCAACGACTTCTAAGAAAGGATTGTTGTAATTATATCTGCTATGTGATCGATACTTAGCAAGAAGCCCCCACACTTAATGAAATCCCTATGGTTAGAGAATTTTCAAATGTCTTCCCTGAAGACCTACCAAGTACCCCAATTGACAGGGAAATCGAATTCACCATTGAAACCCAACCTGGCACACAACCAATATCAAAAGCTCCTTACCGCAAGTCAATGACAAAATTAAAAAAACCAAAGACCCAACTCCAGGAACTTTTGGACAAAGGCTTCATTCGACCAAGTACCTCACCAAAAGGAGCTCCAGTACTATTCGTAAAGACAAAAGATTGCACGATGAGATTATGCATCAATTATCGAGAGTTGAACAAGGTCACCATCAAGATTCAATACCCTCTACCATGAATCAATGACTTGTTTGATCAACTTCAAGGCGTCCAAGTATTCTCAGAAATTGACTTGCGTTCCGGCTATCATCAACTAAAAGTCAAAACGGAAAGTATCGAAAAAACTGTCTTCAGAACACGTTACGGGTATTACGAGTTTCTCATCAAGCCATTTGGAGTCACCAATGCTCCAGCGGCCTTCATGGACCTCATGAACCGAGTGTTCAAACCCTATCTTGATGAATTCATCATCGTCTTCATTGACGACATTCTTATATACTCCAAGTTACCGGAGGACCATGAGTAACACTTGTGAACAGTTCTGCAAACACTACGTAATCACAAACTTTATTATAAATGTGAATTTTGGATCACTAGTGTACACTTCTTCGGTTATGTCATTAACAAGGATGGCATCTCGGTTGACTCCCAGAAAGTTGCAGCAATCGTGGATTGGCCACGACCTACTAACTTGTCTGAAATTCGAAGCTTCTTGGGTCTAACCGACTATTACTGACCCTTCATTCAAGATTTCTCAAAGATAGCTTCACCCATCTAACTCCAAAGAACACACCCTTTGAATGGGCTGACACACAAAAACGTTGTTTCCAAGAGTTAAAAAGTAGATTTGTGTCAGCTCCTATACTAGCACTCCCTTCGGGAACGGATGGATTCGTAATTTATAGCAATGCCTCACACAATGGTTTGGGTTGTATTCTTATGCAAAATGGAAAAGTTATTGCGTATACCTCGCGTTAACTAAAAACTCACGAAAAAAACTACCCGACCCACGATCTAGAATTGGCCATAGTAATTTTTGCCCTCAAAATCTGATGTCATTATCCCTATAGAACAACTTGTGAGATTTACACCAATCACAAGAGTCTTAAATATCTGTTTACATAGAAGGAACTAAATATGAGGCAACGACGATGGCTAGAATTTATGAAAGACTACGATATAAAAATCTATCACCATCTAGGCAAAGCCAACATAGTAGCAGACACATTGAGCCAAAAAACGACCAGAAGTTTGGCATGTACCCTTGTTTCCCGCAAGATCAATGGATTACTTGCCAACATAACCATGGAACCCGCGTTGATTAAAGAAGTCAGAGCACGCCAATGTGAAGATAAACTTTTGAAGAAAAAATATGAGGAGCAATGAAGTACGCCTAATCCCGACTTCACTAAATAAATGGGTACCCAAAAAAAAAAGTTTATTTAAAAGAAAAATATTCATTTGGGCCTTATTAATTAAGTACAAGAGTTTGATTGGGATTACAGATAGTAAATAAAAGAAAAAAAAAATTAAAAAATTGCGATTCCCAATTTCAATCTCGCTAAATCTCATTACTTCAAAGGGGATAACAACTATAAGCACATGGCAGAATGAGAAATATTATACTAAGAGTATAAGGGCATAAAAGTCACCATGGATAATTATTTAGGCTAAAATAATGAATAATTTAGATTGAATAAATAAATTATTTAAACAACAAAATTTTAATTCAGAAATCATATAAGCAAAATAATCATAACCACGGCACAGAACAGAACAGAGGTCACCAAAGTAACAATCAAAATAGAGGTCAATGGATCTATGACAAGTAGAAAGCCACAAAGTGACCTATCATAAGCCAGTGGTTTATTTAAGTTCCCCAAGACATGAGACTCTCGCAGTGGTACTTACAAAAATAATCATTTATATAATCATTGTCAAATAATTTCTAAACTTCAAATAATCATATCCATAGGTTTCAATTTAAGCAAATAGAGTTCAGAAAATAATCAACATAATTGAAACATTAATATAACTTATAAAACACGAATTGTATAAAATAAATTATGATAATTCAAAATATACATAAAATATATTATGATAGCTCAAGATATAATATAACTCACTTTAATATTGACTCTTAGCCTTTACTTTCATACTGCTAACTCGTTGCTACTTGTATGTTGCACCTTAGTTATTGATTTATATATATTTCCTTTGTTTCCGAAGCTCAGTAAGTACTTAACTATTTATAGGTGGTGAACGTGCATCACCATCAACATGTGGCACGCTTAGATTCGGCCACCTGTCCAACAGGTGCCAACTCGTCCTTCCCCCACTTGACCCTCTAAATAGATGATTCATCAAAGTTGTATGGGCCTAGGCCGGTGATTCACTGAAGCTATACTTGCTTCGATTTTTTTTTCCTTAATCTTTGATTTAATTCTAATTTGACCTAATTCTTAAAATAATTATATATTATTTTTTTTGAATAGTATATAATCTCTAATTAAATTACACTTTATCACATACCGCAATAACATTCAATATTTTATTTTACTCTAATTATATATATTATTTATTATTTTTTTTTTTAAAAATATTTAGGGTATCACAATTCATACTATTATCACAAAAAATTATAAATTTCTTATGATGAATTATACATAATAAAATATTTTTATGTCACCTGACTGTTAATGTGTCATTTTTTTTTTAATCTAATTTTGAACAGAAAGTTAGCTTTAAGAGTAAATTATGAAAAACTTGAAACATAAAAGGCTAAAGTGAGAAAAAAAAAAAAAAAAAAAACTTTAAAGGGTTTAGGTTTAAAGGGCAAAGTGACCAAACCTAAAGGGGTAGATTGTAGTTTACCCTATTTTTTATGATTGTAATTTCTCACTTATTCCCATTGACTTGTAAATTGGTTTTTTTTTGGATATCTATCATATCACATCATTGTAAGTCAAATTATGAGAGCTTTTTAAGGATCTCGAACATTTTCCAATTTCAAATTAGTTGCATAAGTGGAAAAAGTTTACATTCAGATTGGTTTAAGAAGTGACTTTTTTAGTGATTTTTTTGCTGTTAATTAAATTATGAGTAAAAATTAAAGGGTTTGGAAATAACCTTTTAACATTTTATAAAAGGTTTAAAAAGTAGAGAGAATGAAAGTAATTTTTTAATTTTTTTAATGGGGTTTTGGTTTTGGACTTTCGGTCCATAAATTCAAATTTAAATTTTATTTGTCTAAAAGTCCACACTCTAAAATATTTTGTTTATAAGGACATGTTGGTATAAAATGTCCAAACTACTTATATATATATATATATATACATACCTATAGTAGGGTTTTCCCAAGCTCACACACACACACACACACACACACTATCTCTCTCTCTCTCTCTCTCTTCCTCTTCTTTCATCGTCAGCTCCTCCTTTTCCACCGTCACCGCAGATTGAGCATCTCTCACTACTTCCATCCAGCCACCACTAGCGTCCCTCACCGCCACCGACGTCTCCATCATTGCCTTAGATTTGAGATCACGGATCTTCACAGCTCCGCTTCAAATCTCCATAACTCTACCTTAGATATGTCATCGATGATGATTATGGCTTTAGTTTCATCATCGTCGTCTACGAGGATGACCTCTGCCACCTTCATTTCCCTCCCTTCGGTGGCTATCGCCTCAACCTCGAGTAGATTGTCAAGTACGTCACCTATGAGCAAATTCATAGAAACTCGCAATCGTACTTCATCTATGCTGACCACAACCAATGTAAGATTGTTCTTGCTATCCATGGCTTTAGTTTGATTGGAGAGAGCAACAACAAGCTCTTTCTTAACAATCGCTTGGGTTTGCAGATGTTCGATGGAGGCTACATCTACCACGGCCTTTTGAAATTTGCAATTTGGTTGATTTATGAGGAATTAGAGACTTTGAAGAGAGAGAGAGAGAGAGAGAAAAAAAAAGAGATATATATGAGATTTCCTTTTGTATTGTTGTTGGTGGTTGATTAAGACCTAGGGTTGATGTAGTTGAAGATGAAGATTGAACAGATTTGCTCAAAAAGGCTCAGATCTTTTCAATGTATTTCAACAGATAGAAAAATTAAAAATTTGAACGGATAAACAAATTCAACAGATCCTGATGTTTGGTTTGAGAGAAAGAGGAAAAAGAGAGAGAGAGAGAGAGAGAGAGAGAGAGAGATAAATCGAGAAAAAAGAGAAAGCAACCTGATAGATAGAGAGAGATGAAAAAAGAAAAGAGAAAGTAGATTCAACAGATAGATATAAAATATATACAAAATTTGAATAGGTAAAAAAAAAATTCAACGAATAGATTAAAAATAAGCTTAGTAAATTTTAACAGATAGATCAAAAATTCAACACATATATTTAAAAAAATTGAATAGATAATAAAATTCTAACAGATAGATTAAAGGTTAAAATTAAAAACAAAATGTCCTCTAAAATAATAAAATGTATTTCTCGCCACAATATTTCACAAAGAGTGTATTTCTTATCAAAGAAAAATCAATAAGACTAGGCACAGCGAATACATTCAACGAAAGACAACGTGGCAGTGGTGGTTCCCGCTGGGTTACTTTAATTATAAATAAATTTTAAAAAAAAAAGGAAAGAAAAAAAAAAGAAAGAAAGCAATATGTACAAACATAATATATATTACGAACTAGAGGAGCTCATGTTCTGCAAACTTCTCTCTCTCTCTCTCTTTCTCTCGTTTCGCCATCGTCGGACTAAAAGTTATCAGAACTCCAATTTACGTCACCCCCTTTTGATTCAATCATCTCGCCGTCAGTGGACTGACCTGTTAGTTTCTGTTAAGATTTTAATTTCAATTTTAGATTTGCGCTTTTGTGTTTTTTATTTTGTTTCTATGAAGGTTTGTGCTTCTGGTTCTGTGTTTAGGGGTTTAGGTCATTGATTTTGACTTAGTTTTTCTTTAAATTTTTGGTTTGCAATTGTGTTTTTGGTTTTTTGGTTATGGGATATAAAATTAGGAGTTTCAAAGATTTTGAAGATTTGGGTTGTAAAATTAGGGTCTTAAAGAATTGAGTAGTAGTTTTTGAAAATTATAATAGACATTCAATATGCTATTATATATATTGTATATTTGTACATTTTTATATGTTTATGTTATTTTTTTTATTTTATTTATTTATTTATTTATTTATTTGCAGAATCTATATCAGCATCTTGTTTTGATATTGATGCTCCTATCTAAGGTTTTTGTTTTCCTTTGGCTACTGCTATTGCCTCTTGCTGATTGTTGGCTACTACTGCTGCCGATTCCTCATTGATGTTGCAACTGCTGCTATTGCTTCTATAGTAGGCTCTTGCTACCCATTGCTACTTATTGAGGGGTGCTGTGTTTGTGAGTTGACTTGATAGTTGAGAATGTTGGTTGCTTTGGTATTTTGTTCATGTTTTGGCCCTGTCCTTTCCTCTGTTTTCTTGTTCTCTTTGGTTGATATTTTGTTAACCATCTCTTTCCTTTGTTGATGTATCCTCTTTTGATTCATTAATAAAAAGTTTCTTTTGCTGATCCAAAAAAAAAAGAGAAGCATGTTTGTGTAATTCAATTATTCAATTTAAAATTGTTCGTTAAAGGAAACCACACTTAATTTTGTCTTCATTTGTAGATGCTACAATGTGTTTTTCATTGTTGTGAACAATTGGATAAAAACATATAATTGATCCATACCATAGAAAAAGTGAATTGCTGTAAACATAAAGTTACATTCAATTGCAAGTTTGGACTAATAGTTGATCTTTTTAAGAGCAATAGTCTCCTTGTGATTTCCATTGCTATGAATATATAAAAAACTAAGGCCAAAGAAAGAAAAATAGAGAAACACAAAAGCAAAAACAGCAGTAATAGACAACAACCGAAAAAAAAAACCCTGCAAAGAAGCAGCAACAACAACAGCGAAATAGCAGCAACAACAACAGCAAAACAGCAACAAAGCAAGAAATATAATTTATCACACCTTCTCTATATTCCATTTGTTTGATCTTTGTCTTGTTTTTTGTTTCCTTCTTCTTTCTGAATGCTTTTTCAACAGTAGACTGCTTTCATTTACATGGTGGTCGCCCCTTTTGACGAATAACTAATGGATCAAGTATGTTTGTGCTCCCCTTTGAAATTAAAAGACCATCCCCATGTGAGCTACCACAAACAACTTCAACTTGTTTCAATTGCCCTTTTAGTTCACATAATCATGCTACCGCGGTATCACACTTTTCTTCACATTCAGTTGCTAAATCAGCAACCTCACTGAAGACATTAAATTTTTTTTTATCATAGCGATGTGCTTCAGCCTTAAGAGAACAATTGTCATAACTAATTCTTACTTTAACGTGGCATCTTTTCACATTTTTGTTCCATCTTTTCAAGATGTACTTTTCCAATATGTGATTAATCCCTCTTTCCATGAACACCACAATTTGATGCCTACACAATATTCCTCTAAACTCAAACAATTGACAATTACAATTTGCTTCGTTGCTATCCTCCTTGAAATACACAGTGAAAGTTGCACGCTGCAAGATTTCTCCAATTGGTATATCTTCACCTACTCTATATATAATAACACCATCTTCACATTCCTTGCATGGAGACAAATAACAATAAATCTTTCCTACTACCTCTTGTTGGAACTCTTTAAATTTTGCGATTGTGTAAGCTTTTTGAAATTGTTTCTCCAATGGAAACTGAGTTATCCATGTAATGTAGGAGTTGAAAGAATTGAATTCTTCATTACTTTCATTTTCCATCTTTTTAGCCAAAGCATTCTCATATTGCTCCACAAATTGTTTCAAAGTTGTTTTGGCATTGATGTACCTATCAAAAAATGCATGCATGCTTTCACTCCGCTGTGTAGTTGACATTCCTGACCAAAATATATCTTTTACAAATGTAGGCACCCATCGATGTCTTTCCTTATACAACCCAAGCAACCACTCATTACTTTCAAGTTCATACTCCTCAATGAATTTGACCTAATTTTCTTCAAATTCTTCTCTTGTTAATAAATCATAAATTGCATTTTGTAGACAAAATTTCATCAATTCATATTCTTTATACCCTCTCAACTTTTCAAGCAACTTTTTCATTGTATACCATAAACACCACCGATGACGTGCATTAGGAAACACAATTTGTATAGCATTTTTCATAGCTTTGTCTTGATTTGTGATAATTGCATTAGAATGACATCCAAACATGCATGAAAGGCAAGATTTAAATAGCCATATAAATATTTCCGTGTCTTCATGTGAAATGAGGCCACAACCTAACAATGTTGATTGCCCATGTTGATTGACTCCTATGAAAGGAGCAAAAGGCATGTCATATTTGTTTACTAAGTAGGTTGTATCAAATATAACCACATCACCAAACTCTTTAAATGCTACTCTACTTCTTGCATCAGCCCAAAATACATTTTGTAATAGACCCTCCTCATTCAAATCCATAATGTAAAAGAAGTCTAAATTATAGGATTGCATTTTCATAAAATAATTATACATTGCATTCGCATCTCATTCCCCAAGTTGTAAACGCCGAACTTTTTCCATGCGATTTCTACAATCCTTTTCTAAAAATAACAACTTGTCATGCCCCCTTGCCTCAAGCACAAGTGAAGTGAAATTCTTGTTCATTCTAATTCCCGCTCTGTCATTTAATTCAAGCCGCCTTTATACATGTGGTTGAAGTATCCTATTACATTTGAAAAAATGAGATTTTCCTTGACTCATTTCATGGTTATGCTCAAGTGTAAAGGACCTCAACATTCACATTCCATCGTCTTGTAGAATTGCATTAAGCCCAACTTTGCATCATATTTCTGTTTGGGGTCATAGTCTAACTGGGTTATTTGTTTTGATCCTTGCCTTTTGTAACACCCCGAAATAATTATAATAAACCAACAGTAATGATAATTAAATAACAACATAAATCAAAGTAAGATACTGTAACGCCCCCAAAATATAACCATAAGTCCAACCAAAATATATAAAAATAGCTACATAAATCAGAGTGTAATGTTCTTTCATTTCATAATATTAATAGTACAAAAGAGTTTGGCATAAATAAATGCTCTATAGGCTTACACCTTTCCAAGTCTTGGCTTGGTTACAACAAAAGAGAGAATAGCTCATACAAATAAAGCCCTCAGCTGTAAAGGAATAAAACAAAACAAAGAAGTTCTTGCTTCCAAAAGTAGTTCCAATGCTATTGCCTTGGCGGAGGCACATCACCAACACCTGTAAATGTTTTTCCCAGATAGGGTGAGCCACAGCCTAGTAGGAATCATCTAACACAATATATGAGGTTTAGCAAAGATATAAATACAATATGTATAAACAATGCCTATGACAAAACATTCACATTTTCATAAGAATAATAATGTACCAGATTCAAACCTTAATCCATTTTCTTTCAATTCATATCAAGTTCATTCATTCTTCTCAATTCATGAATCAATTCCATTATCCTTCAACAACCCAACTGAGACTACAACTCAATGGTTTTCCAGTCATATAATTAATACATAAACACTTCAAATCTGCCATTTTACGGATATTTCGTCTGCAAGATCGGCACCCATGTATAATTTCGGGACTTTAAACCAGGACACTCCGGCCAACTTAATTTCAATGAAGTCAATCCCCTTTCTCCTCCCAAACAATCATACATATACAATGTATTTAAACACATAATCATACATGGAGTACATCTCATTTCTCCTTCCAAACAATCATACATATACAATGTATTTAAAACATAATCATATTCAATGACAACCAACAATGGATTAGTTTCAATTCACCTAATCCTCATGCAATTTCTACAACAATCATAGCTATCCTCCACCGATGGCCCAATACAGTTATTTCTAAACAGATATTCGATCTCAAGACAAATAGTTTATTCAAAATTTTTCAAAGGTGTGAGATAATACATATCTAATTCCATCATTCATAACAATAACCGTCTAATTTCACATTTTCAATATCAATTTCAATTATTTATACAAAATAACAAATTTGATCCAATTAGGGTAAAATTTCCTCCATTTTCTAAACATCAACCCAAGTACCAAAATTAACAATTTTGACACAATATAATTTCCTTTTCAAACTCCATGCCTATTTATTTCACATTTACCAAAAACTCCTCTTTCCATTTCACACCCAAACCCTAAGGTTGTTCACATTAACCCCAAATCCCACCATTATTACACAATGACAAATAACTAAGCTAAAAGCCATATGAAAGTGTAGAAAAATCCCTACCTCAAGTTAGAAAACCAAGCAAAGCAAAGGTGAAACTCCAAGGATGCTCAAATCTAACTTTGTTCGGATCAAAATGAAGAACTAGAGACGCTCTACCTTTTTCTCAAAGGCACTAAGGTAGACAACCCAAAGGATCTAGGTTAAAATATAGAGAGAGAGTGTTTTAGAGAGAGAGTGTGAAGATCTAGGTTTTTGGAAAGTTTTAGAGAGAGAGAGAAGAATGAAAAAGTGATATAAAATGTCATTTTCACGATCTGATATACGCACAGTTCGCTCGAGCGAAGGAATTGACGCTCGAGCGTCAAACACAATAAGTTGTTCCACTCGAGCGCCAAGACACAATCAACAAGACGATCACCGCTCGAGCGCAAGAAGTGATGCTCGAGTATGGAAAACACACATCTAGTAGTTTTGCAAACAACAAACCAACGCTCGAGTGCAAGAAAAACCGCTCGAGCACCCACCAGCTCGAGCGTAGAAAATGCCGCTGGAGTGTAGAAATCACTCTCCCAATACTTTTGTAGACTTGCAAAAGTACTGAGTGTTTGCGAAGCCCGCTCGAGCGCAGGAAATGCCACTCAAGTGGAGGCCAAAATTCTAGGCAACACAAGGTTTGAAAAACAAGCAATCGACCTGCCCAAACGCAATCACAACAACCCAAAAGCCAATTTCAAAGAGATACAAGGGGAGAAAGAAGTAAACAACTCCATGAAAGTATTAATCCCGAGTCTGAAATACCACAAGAGTCTAGTCAAAACCAGGATCGCTATGGATATCCTTCCATTTCACGAAATTCAGTTGTACAAAAGATGTGGCACATGCGAAAATACATTCATAAGTCCTAACCTTGAATCTATAGCATGTGTCAATAACAAAAATAAGAAGTGGAAGTTAAACAGATAATGGAATTGCCCTGAAGGCTATAACTTTCCAAGACAATACTTGGTTACATCAAAAGTGAGTCTTAAGCTCAATACATATAAAGCCCTAGGCTTATACAGACATTAAAAATACAAAATAACAAAACTGAGCCTTTAGCTCCATAGTCATCCCAAGCTAAGTCCTTGGTGGAGGCATCTCACTAACAACTGAAAATGGTTTTCCCATATAAGGTGAGCTAAAGCCCAGTAGAAATAATCCAACACAATATATGAATCTTAAAAATGATATAAGGGTGAAATACATATGCAATGTTCATGTCAAAATGGTTTACATTTCTTTCTTAAAATCATGCCATACTCAAATTATATCACAATTCTCAAATCATATCATTTACCATTAGAAACAAGGGGAATTCTCCAACCGATATAACCTTTCACGGATATTTCGTCCGCGGGAAACCTTCAAATGGCACCCATGTAAATGTAGCTTATGCAAGCGCTACTATTGTCATTTTACAAATATTTCGTCCACGAAAATCGACACCCATGTATACGCGCGTTTTTCGGGACTTTCACCCTAGACACATAGGCCAACTTAATTTGGTAATACATATCGCTTTCCAATATTCACCCATTTTTCTCAAAATCCTATTGCAGACACCCCATTTTTGATGGCCCTTACGACTTGGACGTCATCGCATGCACACCCGATGATGAGTCTATATGCTCATCAAGTGCTCAAAGTCCTCAGCGGAATGCTACAACTTTGAGTTCTTCAAACCCTACACCCCTGTTGCCTTATTCTTGGACCAAACCTTGGTTCTTCAAGCTTGCAACCCTTGGTGGCCTGCCGGCCACCTTTTTGGGCTACCGGCCATCGCTTTTGGTTGCCGACCACTAATGTGGCCTACCATCCACCAGTGATAGTCGGTCGGCCACCAGTGTCTTTTGCAGATATTTTGTGACAACTGTGCTAGCTGTTTGCATAGATGCTTTCATCTGCTCCCACGTGTAGGGCTGGATATTCTTGAGGGGAATTCATGTTTTCTATATATAGAGGGTATCCCTCTCTTGTTTTAAGGATATAAAAATTTTAGAGCAAAATTTTTCCTCTCTTTGTATAATTCTCTTTCTTTCTTCTAAATTTCTATACTTTAGCCTACAAATCCTTAACCTTTGCCTATACACTCTTAATCAAACCTTCTCATCTTTGAGCTGAGGTACTTTTGAGCTTGGTTTGAGCTCTTGAAGGGTGTGTTGTCTTGATTTGTTGCCCAGAATTGGTCTTCTCTTCAAGAGGTATAAGGCTTTGCTTGTTGCTTTGTTTTATTTGCTTTAATTCTTGCTATTTTCCAACTGTTTTGACGCTATGAAAACTCTGTATTTTTGGGCTAAAACTTGGGTTCTAAGGCCATTAAAGGTTGAGGAGTGGTTCACCCTTCTTTGTACCTTGTTTTGGAGGCCTTTACCCTTTGGTTTCCCATCCTTTTACTATATGTTTTTGAGCTTTTAAACACTAATTTTCAGAGTTATTTTAGTGACCAAAATCATGTTTTGAAGTCCAAATTTGGAGGGGTTAGCCTCCCCTCCTTGTGTCTTGCTTACTAGCGTAGCTTGTGCTATGTTTTAGCATATTAATCTAGCTATTTTTGTCTTAATTCCAGCATGTTTTAGAACTTATTTTAGACTATTTTAGCACTATTTTTCGTTGAT